ATAGTCAGACATGACTGAACTAAATCACTAATATCTACATTAAATATTCTTTCTTTTATTAAAGTAGAGATGCTTGTTCTAATTCCTCTTCTAGTCTTCCTATTTCCTCAAGAACAATTGATATCATTAGACTTTCTTTAGGTAATTTTAATATTCTCTGTAAAATTCTCCCAAATGTGAAGATTCAAACTCATTTGAAGTGGCCAGGAAATAATTTTCTCTGTATGTCCCAAATTTCCTATCCATGTTGGTTCTACAATTTCCACTGTAAAGAATGTTTCTCCTTAATAAGGACAGCAAAACAAAATCAGATTGAAGTTACATTATTATTATTAGATCATCTCTTCTTTCATTGAAATTAAAAAAACAATTTGTTTTGATTTTCCCAATATTTGGGTTACCTAAAAGGTGTTAACTTAGTCTCTGTTCATTTTCAATTTATGGCTATTGTCTTACTATTTATGAATATACAAGAATTTTTCAGTTACTTTGAATGTTTTTCTTATTCAGTTTATATTGGGATGTTTAAAGGACTACATTTTTCTTTCATTGAAATCTTTTATAATGGTAGATTTGCTCATATGATGCTACAACTTTTATAATTTCCTACCCAGAGTACAAATTATCTTTTATTTAGATTGCAAAGTCTGTCTTCCCACAGTCCAAGAGAGTAAGTATATCCAATGAACATTTTCATAATTGATAATATGAGATAGTCATTTCCATGCCATCAGTTCTTATCAGTCTACACTTGTTAGTCAAAATTAAGTGCCCAAGTAGAGGTTCTCTGTTTTAACCTTCTGAGATATTAAACTGTCACCAAGACAATTATAAATATTAATCAGGTGCTGTCTTTTTCATGATAAGACTCCTAGTGAGTTCCTGTAATTATTCTGTCTTGGCTCTATGTCAACTTTGTAATCTGTTTTAGGAAATAAGTCATTCACTTTAGTTTTCTTTTTATGTGCTGGGTCATTTGTTATCTATTTTTTTGAAACCATTCATGTTTATCAATGGTCTCTCTTAATAACTTTTATGGAGTTCCACACAAATATAGAATTTTTTTGCTATTTGATGATCTTTTTCCTTTTTTTTTTTCTATTTATTTTATATAAAATAGGCTTTTTCACTGCCATACTCCAGTCAAAACTTTCATCCCATAAGTTTCTGATGGTATCTAAGAAACTATGTCACTTCTTTATGCTAAAACTTGTAATTCAAATTTATTCTCTATCTCTCCTTTACCAGCATCAATTATTGTTTGCAGGTGTTAAGGACTTAACCCTTCAACTTCATTTTTCCTCATCTGTACAGAGGAATGATAATATTGATCTTAAAATACATTCGTGAAGATTAAATGAGATAATGAGGGTCTAGTGCTCATCCTGACTCTCTTGATACACACAGGAGAGCTACTGAAAGGACAGCTCTCTTACCTGTGAAGACAAGGCTGAATAAGCCATCATTATCATGTTTTAGTGACAGAGGATTTTGCATCATCATACACACAGTGGTGATGGCCAATTACCTCCATTTTTTTTTTTAATTTGAATTTCTCTGAAACCTGTGCTTATGGGGGCTATGTAGTCACATAAATTTTCTATGCTTTTAAGAATATAAAGTAATAAACTGAACTAAAAGGCCAGNCAACTAATAAAAATAAATGGAAAAAAAATTAAAAAAAATATAATTCATAGTATATTTTAGTTTTATTTTGCATGATCAAATACTAAAGCTTGCAAATATGTGTTTTCTTATACAAAAATTAAATATTCTTAATTTTAGATATTGGTGATTCCTACAATTACAAAATTCTCTTAACATAGAAGTATGTGAAATGAAGATAACTCAGTTTTCCACGCAAACTCAGCCATACAATGTGGATAAGATTGTTTTACATTGAAGAGTAATTTTTAATCTGAATTAGTTAGAAAATTTCTTGCCATCTCTCATTTACTATGAAAATATAGTCTATGTTGGTTGAAACAGATTACATTGATTGAAAGCTTAGTAAATAGTGAACCATAGGAACTATTTTTACCACATAATTAGTTTGTTTCACTGACCTTTTATTATTACCTGGTGAATAAAACCAAATGTGCATTCATTCATTCATTCACTCGTTCAGTGAATACCTAGAAGATAGAGTATTATGTTCCATTTAATTTTTTTAATGTTAGTATGCCTAATTTTTTTTGTTTTTTTATATTACATGAGAACTCATCCAAAAATACCCCTCTGCCTTTCTATCAAATTACTTTAAATTTGTCTAATTATTTTTAGCAAATTAAGAGATTCTTAAAATGTTTCTATTACAATATTGGCAATTCAGTTTACATTTCTATATTGGTCACATTTTGCATTGGCACCACTCTTTTAAATATAATAATAACCAGACCACTTTAAATACATCAATTTGTAGGTACTGACAATTTGTTTTATTTATCCAGAAGAAGGGCCTTTAGTTCAAGTGAGCTGACACATTTAAGGCTTCTTTCACTCCATTTAATGGTTGCATCTGACTGGAGCAAGAGTGATGGCAAAGATCTTGACCTTGAAACACTGGTTGAATTAGAGGATTCAAGTGGATGATAGAAGTTGTAGCTGGGTTGAAGTGAGGGCCAAACAAGGTGGGAATAAACGCTGCAGGGGGCAAAGGCTGAAATGTTATGTGAGATGGGTGGAAGGGGGCAGTGGTGATTAAATGCAGGGGGTGACCTGCTAAGAAAGTGGGGTGTGCAGGGATGATGGTTGGGGTCAAAGGTGAAAATGTGAATGGATTAAAACGCGGCTGGGAAAGAGGATGTAGATGAGCTATAGGGAGATGACTGCTATGGGCATTTATGGAAGCAGAAACAATATGCTGCAGGAACGTGTGGTGGATGGTGGTGATAGAAGCCTGCTGGTGACCTGGAACTGTCTGTACAGTGGAGGCCGAAGAAAAAGTGGTGGGCCCTGCAGCAGGCAAAACTCGAAGATGCTTTGATAGGAGCTGTTTCTGCATATGCTGCTGGGCTTGTAACTGTAGGAGTTTATATTTATCTATTTCATCAGGAGAAAATGTTATGGGCTGTTGAATTAATGGAGGAGAAAGAGATTTATGACACACTTCTAAGTCATCTGCTACTTTGTCATGCTTCTGCATAGTTCTGTCATAGTAAGAGTTTATATTCCCCTCCATCTGATTCATTTGCATGCTTCCATCCGGTAAGTCCAGATTCATATCGTTCTCTTTGGTGTCCATTGAATCAGTAATACCACTATATCTATTAGATGGAAAAGCACCAGGGAAACCACTTGGTACTGGGTCACAGCTTTGAATAGAAGGTTGGGCTTCACCAATTAATGATTTTTGTTGTTCTTTTGTTTTTGGGTCCTTCTTCATGTTTGGTGAGAGAGACTCTGCTACTACATGAATTATACCTTTAGAAAGATGATTATCACAATCAGTGCCCACTAAAACAGTAAAATCATTTGTCGGGGAAATTTTGACTTTGTTTTTGTCAATAGTTCTTTGCATTGCACTGCCTTTATCCTTTCTTCTTCTGCTTTTGTTTGGTGTTTTCCCAGGCAAAGGCAATGAAGGTCTGTTACAGCCTGGTGGTGTAAATGGAATTACACATTGGATTTGTGAAAGAGTCTCTGATTCATTTTTACAGCTGTTTGACGAGATCTCAAAATGAATTGATTGTTCCTGATATTTCTTGGCTTGTACTCTTTCTAAAAGGCTTTTGGCTGTCAGGGAGGTCCTCTCTGCTTCTATAGGGTTCAACTCTGTGGTATCTGAAGGGCTTCTTGGACAGTTCCTTAGAAGGTAGCTGATATTCCCAGAGTTACATTGCATGGGTTTTACTTTTCCCAGATCACAAATATGAGGGCTGTCCAAAGACTGTTGATTCCTTTTACTTGTATTTAAGTAATATATTTTCTCTCTTGAGTGAGAGCCCAATCTGCCGTGCTGAGGTCCCTGGCAATTAGGTGGATTTTCACTGTTTCCAGCACAAGAAACCTGTGAGCTAGAATCACACTGGGTGATTCTTTTGGATTTTTGCCCTGAAAATTGTTGATTTTTGCCCAGTTTATGTTCTTCTCTGCAATGACCATAAGCATGTTTTGAATATGTTTCATTTTTAATTGATTCCCACAATTTGCAGCTCCTGCCTCTCTCAGTTTCAGACTGTGGACAGTCACCCTTTGCTAACTCATCAGACAAGCAGAGACAACTGTGCTTTCGGCGTTTCCGTTTGTGCCTTTCAACTGAGTTATGTTCTCGTTTGCAAAAGTGGAGCAAATTACCTCTGCCACGTCCACTGGACCCATGATTGGGATAAGAACTTCTCAAGCTTGCTGTACTGGCATGGGATGTGTCTGAAGGGCTAGAACATCTATTCAGAGACACCTTTGGAGAACTTATCTTGTAACTTGCTCTTCTGCATCCAGAAACCCTGCTGGTCATATTGATGTAGTTACTATTCAAAATTGCACTGAAATCCTTCCCATGGTCACTGTGGTCCCTTACTGTGTAAGGACTAGACTTCCAGGTGAACTGATTCCCTTCTTCAACATCCAGATGAGGATCACAAGAAATCAGTTTATGCTTTTTCATCCTAGAGATGCAAGGAGAAAAAGATAGACCCTCATTTGCATCATTTAGAATTACCCTTTGGCAGCTTTGCCAATGGGCCCTTGAAGGTTCTTGAAGTTCATTATCACCATTTTTATTGTTTCCTACACAGTTCTTTAGAGAGATATCAAGGTAAGCAGGCACTTCAGGATTTTTCATTTCCAAGTCATTTGCACTAAAATTATGTTCACTCATACTGGACTCAGAATTGTTGCGGCCCAAATTATATTTCCTCTGGAAATTTTCCCAATCTGGATTAGTTATCCTCATCTTTGGTTTCAGAGAC